TCTCTCTCTCTCTCTCTCTCTCTCTCTCTCTCTCTCTCTCTCTCTCTCTCTCTCTCTCTCTCTCTTATTCTCTTATCACAATCACATTCTCTCTTCGATTCTCTTTCTCTCTCATTCTCGCTCAAGCACACACGCGCGCTCGCATAGCTACATCAATATCTTGAAAGATACCTATTTAGTGATCGATCGATCGCGCTCTCTACGTATATAAGTTTATATAATCTTAACATATAGCACAACATTGCTGAACGCGCGAGTCTCGCATCGGACACAGTGTTGGATGAGTGTGTCGCGTTGCGGGTATTCGCTGATCAATTAACTCGAGAGAACGGTGTCTCTCCGCGCGATTCGTCTCGCCGTGCGAAATCCTCGCCGCGGAGTCGTAGCAAGCGAGCTAAATCGTCGAACAGTAATCGTCGTTGTCAGATAATTAGGCGCTCCGAGGGGTCCTTCCTCCACCCCTTTTTGCGCGCGCTCGCACGTGACGCTCGTCACGTCCGAGCGCGGTGCCTCGGTTGGTCGCAATTAATCAACTAGCTAATCCTAATGGTATGTTACAATCTGTTCGTACGCACGAAGGACCGGGATCTATGGTGAGTTTCGAGTTTTCGCGAGTATCTCGTCGGGTCTCCTCTCGTGCTCCGCGCTCGACGACACAACACGTTCTCGTTTATGTTTCCCGATGTTCGGACAGGAGTAGAAAACCCGATTACTACCGATCGATCAGGCCCGGCTTACGCTATCTTTGGTCCTCTAGCCGCTATGATTCGTTGCCAGACATGCGAATTTCGTGCGAAATTTCCTCGTCATCGCCCCTCCGCCAGTCGCTTTCGTTCGCTCGGGACGGATAATCTTGCGGGAATTTTGACAAGCTGAATCTATTTACACAAGCTCTCTCTTCCTTGTTTCTTCTTTTTCTCCGTCACATGCAAGATTTCAAGTCCATTCCGCGCGCGGAATCCCCGACTGCGCGCCTCTTCTGAAATGAGCGATGCGATAGAGAAATATCGTAGAAGTCGATTCCTTGCGATACTACATATAGGGACGAAGTATTACAAAATATTTAACGCATACGTACAGGTCATATTAACAGCCATATCCTAAGATTTTTGTTATCTATATTTTCCGTAACTTCGGGGACAGAGAAAAGTGATTTAACGAAGGTTTCGCAAAAAGTGGCTTCACGACTGAAGGAGATCCGAAAATTAGGAAGGCTTACATATCGATCGCTTTTCTTTCCTTCTTCTCTATTTTTTCTGTTTTTTTTTTTTTTGTTTTTGTGTGGGAGAAGTACGGCGTGTGTATGTCGGTCGTATGGCGTGGCGTCGTTGATTTGACGATACTCAATTGTCATTAATTGTTCGAATGGTTTATTCGATCGATTTTCGTAAACACGGGTGGCTTTGGCTTCGACAGACTATGACACGTGAGATACACAAATAGTACTATATATTCACAATCAGCTCAGAGCTCTCTGAATACAAATGCATCGTGTGTACATGTTAATTATCGCACTTAGGCTCAGATATCGATCGCGAAACGGAAAGGAAAGCACAGCGAGCTTTCGTCGGGCAATCACGACGTCGGATCAATCGCGCGTTCATTACGCTACTGCAACGTAATTATGCGTGTTCCGTGTCAACGCGCCCGACTGCCGCGTGGCAATTATTTTCGCGATGGTAAAACGCGCGCGCACACTGCCTGTGGATTTGACGCGATCCGCAAAACACGTGTACGAACTGAGGAAGTTTATCGAGAAAGTAACTGTGATATCTGCACCTAGGTGCACCATACGAAACTTACGTGTACATCAAACACACAAATGCTACTCACGTATTTAGATAAGACGTGGACGCATCGATACAGTAGTCACAAGTGATATTCAATAAATACGATTCGGTTACACGATGACACCGAAAGAAAGGCACATTCAGGCACATTGTTCACAATAATGACAGGTCAGTCAAGTCGCGGCGAATCGACGCCATCCGCGAGAGCGCACGAAAGCGCTCAGAGATCCCCTCGATTCTCGACTTTCATACTTTCCGCCTCGACTCACTTGCCGTTACCACGACTTCATGCATCCAAGCGTCCGTGTGTGAGATACGAGATGTTCGTATATATTCTTTTTCGTTCACATAGCGACTTATTTCAACATCTTCCGCTGGGTGTCACGCGTGGGAGTTACAAAGATCTTCTCTACGGTAGACGATTGTCCACATCGGATGTGTAAATCGCGCGCGCTATTACAAAATACGACGATCTGTGCGGGGTCGCTCAATTTTTAATGCGTCACCATCATTCCCGACAGACAATTCGTGCAATCGATCATTTCCATGGGGAACGCAGTATAAATAATAAAATTACGAAGCAGTAATGTGTATGAATACATGTGTTATCCTGCACATGCGCCTCATACGCACATAGTCTTACGTCGAGAAAATATAATACATATGTATATGCGTGCGCGTATATATGTACAGTGTGTTCTTCCATCGCGTTGTAAATTTCACAAGGGCAGATAGGGTGTTTTCTGTGATAAAATTTGTAATCTTTTTTTTTCCTTAAGCTTAATTATTAATGTTCTGGTAGTAACGCGTTAAAATCGAAGTCCGATCGAGTGAAGCTCGCGAGGATATCTCGAAGATATCTAAAAAACACGTGTGAACTTCTTTGATTTTCAATAACGCACGACTGGAAATTTACTATCCTATAATGCTCATCGGATTGATTCCAATCAGTTTGGTTTGCATTGACACCCTTTGGTGTCAAACATAAAATTTTCAATTTTTCTTTTAATTATATTAATGTATTTAATGAAGTGGCAGTAAGAAAAAAATTGTATTTTTAGAAAAAAATTGGTAGCAAAAGAGTTAAACGCGTGATTGTTCTGTTGATTTGTATAAATAATTCGCCGATTGCTTGCGTGCCTCGCGACTGTAGTTTGAAACTGGAGGAGGCACTGGTGGAGATTTCAACGAAAAATATTTACACAATTCTGCTTTCTACAGCTGAGAATGTAAGCGAGATTGGCTTGCACTGGTAGGCGGTGACCTTCGACGTGGCAGAGGATGCTCGAATTACGCCACTCTTCCGAATGTTTATTGCGCAATCACGCGTGCAGACTGTTATCGTATTTATATCTCATGCTTTCGAGACGAGCGGTCTCAAGGGCCAATCCGTGTCGTTTTCGTTGCCGCGCAGTTCTCTCTTATTCCGTTCGAACGCATATAAATTGTCTCAACGACTTTTGTCGTTGCCTTCCGGGGCAACTCGTTGATCTCCGACTGACACTTCCAGACGAATGTTAAACATACGTTGACGCCGTATCACTACGCTCGTTGATAGCTCGCTGACATTAGGACGATAAAAGGGAAACGATGCGAAACTAACGTCGCGCCTAATTGAATTTATATTCAGCCCGATGAGTGCACGCGCGACGTCGGCGTGTCACTCAAGAAGGAGAAGCAGCCGGCATTAGTGTGTTTCGCGCGTAGTACATTGCGCCACGTCACTGGTGTGCACAAACGCGAAGTGCTACATTTCGAGATGATCCCCATCGATACACGCGCATCATATGTCACCGGAGCGCCGGTCGTTCGTCGAGCTACACATGACGCGCGCGTGTTTCAAGGTGTTCGTCGTGAAGGCGCACATGTCACTTCGCGTCACCTCGAAGTAACGTCCAATGGTCCATCTTCGATTATCACGTGTCGTATATGCATCACGGAATACTATCACAGTGTCGTAACTACAACGTGGCAGCGTCGCTCGAGACGCGACAATCGGCTGATAATCGGCGCACACTTGGTCGCAAAAGTCGAAGACGAGGGAATTGTTTTTTATAAGCACAAGATAAACGTCAGAGACGAATTAAATAATAATATAATAAATTGTGCATGAAATAATAATATAATAATATAATAAATTGTGAGAGATGAATTAGAAAAATTTTAAATAATAATAAGCACAAAATAAACGCCGGAGAATTCCACAAGATGATTTGGGACTCAGGTTTCCTTCAAAAAAATCCCAATACTTCACGTTGAATATTCGAGAGATCGAGTCTCGCTTGCGACCAAGTGAATTCGCGCAAGTATCAACGCATTTATTTTCGGCGCGTCGCGAAGTAAAGTCGCGGATGGAACACTCGCAAGAATAAATTATACAGAACGAACAGACGCGATAGAGAGAAAGAGAAAGTAATTGTTGACTTCGTCTTCGACACAAAGTTAATCCTACAAGTGCCTTCACTTCGTTAAACTCCGCGTGTATTAGGCTCTTGCCAGTGCTGGTATTAATCGACAAAAATTCTTTCTTTGATTAAAATAATCAGCAAACTTATAATCCAAATTAATCAATTATCATATACAATCACAAATAATTTCGTATAGATTGATGAAATTAAATATTATTCAAATTTTTATGTGAGTGATAATTTATTCCATCAGTTAATTAAATTACTTTAATGTGATGGACTATACACTGATTAATTAATTTATAAATTAACAATTAATGAGTGAATTGATGAATTAATTGATTGATAAAATTAATTAATTTATTAATTAATATATAATCACTCACATCAAAGTTTGATTATTAATTCATCCAATTAATTAAACCGTAATCATCAATCACGAATAATTTAATCGGTTGATGAAATTAATTATTAATTCTAATAACTGGAATCACTTACATCAAAATTTGATTAATAATGAGTCGAATTAAATTAATTCTGCTGATTGATTGGCGGATTATTTGAGTTAGAAAAGAAATATTAATCGATTAATATCCAAAGTCGGCTCTCACCCACGCGTGCCACGCCACGGGTGTCCGCTGACGCACATACTCGAAACGCATTGCTCTGCACGACGTTCGAGTTCGGGGACTCAAGTACATATCGTTTCTCGCTTTCGGCGACCCCACGAGCACACGACTTGATCCTGATGGGTCCCGGCGATATCGCGCGTGTGCGGTCTAACGATACGTACCGCGCAGGTTGCCGGAGGCCTCCTGCGTTCACGGACAAAGCGTCTGTCAGGTGAACGAATCTCAGCTACTGCCGGGCACGGGTATCATGTGGTAACCCGAAGGTGTCGACGATGGTGGCGAGTGCCGGTTGCCGTTAGGCTGCGACGATACCTGTAGAGCGCGATAATCGAGCGCCGGCGCCGCCGGGTGCTGACCTTCCCGGTGCCTCCGCAGGTCGACCTTCCTCTGGAAGGCCTTGTCGCAGAGGCCGCACTGGAAGGGCTTGTAGCCGGTGTGCTTACGCATGTGCGTGATCAGGTTGCTGCTCTGGGAGAACGCCTTGCCGCACACGACGCACTTGTGCGGTTTCTCGCCTGTAACACGTAAACGAGACAGAGGTGTCTCGGATTAGCGCTCATGCACTCATTGTCGCTTATGGCTACATTGAGAGAAGAAGAATAGTTAATCTGACTAAAATTATAGAGAGAGTGTTATTCTCTTGGCCCTTCATTATTTTTTATTTCTTAGATATTTTTCTCTCAATATACTATACGTATACGTACTATACGTATATGACATATAAAAAATATTCAAGTAATTACAATAATTTGTAGTAAAGAGTCAAACATGCATAACAATTTTAAACAAATATATAGTAATTTTGATCATCATTTCTATATTGTTCGATATTATAAGATTTGTAATAATGTTGTAATTTTAACATTTTCATAATAACGGTTATCACCTTGGTCGATAAATAATTTGTTCCTATTAAGTTCCTATTAAGCAATAGAAATGCGATTTAAGAACGAACTAAACTTTCCAACTGACCCAAAAAACAGCACATATTATTAATTATCAGTACTAACCAACACTCACCAATTGAATGTATACCAATATCAATTGAATATTTACTTTGAAGTTTTTTTTGTATTCCGCGACGTGATTGTGAAGTATCTAATTGAGTTGCTATGAGACATGATGTGTCTCCAATCACAACTGTAATTACTATTACTAAATGAAGTAAATGAACATCTGCAACCATAAGTGGTACAAAACTCGTAATCGCGCGCGGAGAACGTGACAGACCGATTCCCATCGCTGACGATTACATCGTCGGCCCGCGGACAAACGACGCGAATTACGAATGCGCGCGTTGTAAATTCGATTATCGCCGGGGAAGACAACAGGCGCGCGGTCTGGAATAATGAGCCAAGGTTAACCAAACGCAGCTGAATCAACCAATAAATCGCGCGCGTCGCTGTCGACCGACGGTGGAGCATTTGCGTCTGACGACGCGTGACTCAAACACGGCCGAGCCACCAAAGACGATCGTTTGCTGTCTATTTTATCCGCTCTATTTTGACTAGAACCCTCGGGCGCGAGTCGCGCAATAATAATTATCTCGAGAATAGACACAAAAGAGTGGACGGTGGAAATATGTCGCCGCTGACGAACGCTTGACGCGTAATCAATTCCAGGCCGATGCGATTATCGACTCAAGACGGCGGCAAAATTCAGAGGGAACATATCTCGACAATCGTAGATCTCTCTTGAGCGGTCTAAAAATAAAAGGTGAAGAATAACGCAGCACCTTTCCGGTTTCTTATCATTCTCGATGTCACAAATGAACTTCATTCGCCACACATGCACTTCTGGCGACGGAACGGCACAATAATAACAATCGTTTGCTTCATCGCGTAATTCCATAGCGCGACAAGTACAGTTTCATCAGTGGAAAGTGCCGCGAACGGCATCATTTATTAATGTCACTCGCATAATCTTGCACGTATCTTGCAATTGCTCGTGATATCGTTACATGAGAAAAAAAATACTCAATTTCTCGGCTAATCGCCCGCGCGAATCTTGACGCTTAAGAACGATCGTCCTGCACGCAGATCGCGGCCGCATAGTGATAGTAATAATAATAATAAAGAGAGAGAGAGAGAGAGAGAGAGAGGAAGGAGAAGAGGAAGAGAGAGAGAAAGAATGACAATACTTGTGAACTTTTGTCGCGGCCTTCTGAAAGTCCACCGTCGCTCGTCTAACGACGATCGACCGACGGCGATAGTACCAAGCAAACAGCTGTGCGAGGACCCGTTGCTCTCTTTCTCGCTCTCTCCCTCTCCCTCTCTCGAAATTCCGAGCAAACAGTTTTACGATTGTAAAGCGACGATAAAAACGTACGTAAGCTGGCGGATGCCTCCGAATGTTGTAACGCGACGGAAGGCGTCGTCGTTAAGATTCTATCGAAAAGAAATTAATTCCGCACGCGGACGTCGCGCGAGCGCTATCTCTCCCTCTCCCTTTCTCTCCCTCCTCTCTTCCTCTTTTTTTTCTCTCTTTCTCTTTCTCTCATGTAAGCGTGCATAAACAGCGGTGGAGAGAGCTCACGGAGGTGTCGTGGAGAAAAACGAGCAACCATTCGCGGAAGGAGTATTTTATGTCATCGTATGAAGCGCGACGAGTAATTGCAGAGTATTTAATGCTCGCGCGGGAAGATAGGATCGGTGACGAAAAATGTTCGAGAGAGAGGGGGAAAAAGAGAGAGAAAGAGAGAAAGAGAGAGGGAGGGATAAGCATTTACGTCTAATCAAACATTAATTGAAGTCGGCAAAGAATATCGCGGGAGAAGCGTGAGAGTCAACGGCGCGCGTAACGAGCGAAGATCGATTTCTTGTGTATCTTGCTCGCAAGAAAGAAATTTTTCTTTCTTAACACGATCCTGACTCACCGGCGCGGTTGTCAGTACAAACGGATATTCTTTTCTTTAAATTAAATTTACCGAGACGTTTCGTTTCCATATATTACCGTCGGAATTATCGCCCACGGCGCGGACACGGACAATGGGCGAAGTCGATGACGGTGTCGCTTTGTTGGAGCAGGCACCGTTTTACTTCCACCATCCTACACACGAAGGAAAATACAATTATCGTAATTGTACCATCTATGATTCAATTTTTATATATGTATCGCTCGACGTAGGGGAAAGTACCGTCGCCTGTTATTAATATTTCAAGACAATTTGTAGACTTAGCGCAAACATGTCGCGGATCTACTGTGTATATCTTACAGTAAATTGTTCGCGTTACACTTATTGACACAGCGAATTGATAACCGCGAAATATACGTCGCGAGGAATCCGGTTGAAGATCGTATGTTTTTCTTTTTGCAAAATATTAATTTATATCATTATACTATGGACAATATTAGTCGACGATATCTCTTTTTATCAAAGCTCGTTGGGGTACACAGAGAGAATTTTGTAATCTTTTTTTCATAAAAATTCTTTTCAATTGTACTACACTTTTGGTGATGCAAGGATAGAGTGCCAGTAAGAGGTCTATCTTGTTAAGGAACATAGCAAATTTTTTAATAACATATTTTAGTTCTTGAAATATAAGTAGCACATACAAAATGAAGAAAGCTAATTATACTGCAGAATGTCGATCTATTTCTCGGTTACAAAATTCTGTAAATTTTTTAGTAAATTTTTACTACAAAATTTTCCCCGTGTCTATCAAACACGAATTACAGGTTTTTCAAGAATTTAATCCAGAATTTTTTTAATCCAAGAATTTAATTTAATTTTAAAAATAATTTAATAATTCAATCAAAAGGATAATAAATTATTGCAGAATGTCGATATATTCCTAATTTTTACTTTAAAATTCTGTCTGTGTCCATCACTACACATTCTTCAAGAATTTCATTCAGATCCTTCTGCACACACTTTATCCACTCAGTTTCACCGAATCACGTAAGAGAAGTGTCATTTGTATCATTGAAGCATGATGTATCCCTGTACATTAAATTTCTTATGGACAATATTTTTAAGAACGTCGGTGCAACTGAGACAGACTACGCGAGCGCGATAAGAAATGTTGCGCGCGAATAAACACCTCCGTGCCAGCGTTACTCGAGCGAGCGTATTGGACAAAAAGTCACGCGTGGTTCAACGACAATGACGCACGTGTGTGATTTCGCAAAATTTACTCGCGACAATTTTATTGCGAGCCGAGCAACTCTCATGTACTCGTTCGAGTCGCGCCGATTCGATATTCACCCGCGCTCGTTACGCTCGCAACTAATAGGATGGTAATATGTTATTCCGAATGTAAACTTGCAAATGCCGCGCGTTTAATTGCGACACTTGCTCGGGGCAAGCAGAAGCGACCTATTGTTATTCGGCACACGTGTTACGCCACGTAGGCGGTGACGGCGACACGTTGTTCGAGCATGTGCTACATTGTCGTCATGAGTGCGTTCTTCTTAGCCGCTGCTTTATCTCACAATGTACTTCCCTCACTGAATGACGAGCAAGAAAGAAAGAGAGAAATAAACGCGCGGAATAAATACGACGACGACGACAACGAATTTCAGAAAAGACGATCAGAACATCCACGTTATTGCAGCGACTATAGGCAAGCGCCTGTGTCTTCTAAAGCGAAGCTTTATCAGAGATTCATTAAAAGAACTCTCGCACCATTCATGATTCAGCGCCTCCATTGGCCGCGCGACCTTCGCGAAATTGCAGATGTACACTTGGCGAAATTAGAGACAACTTGGCGCGCACGATAACGATAACAGAAATAACGCAGTGGCGACTCTCGCGCGAACGAACGAAGGAACGAGTGTAATTTCGAGCTAATTCCGACCTAAAGGGGAACTAATATTCGGATCGAAGGCGGTCGATTAAATCACACTTACACGCGCGTCGGCGTATTTGCCGACCGGGGCAAACGAGGAGAACGCGTACGGACGTTACGCAGCTCGCAGGGGGGCGGCAGGCTGACTCGTGGAAAACTCGGGAGGAAAGCGCGCTCGTGTGACAGCGCCGGTGTTTGCCTTGGACTTTTTTAATTTCTCCGCTGCGCGCGATGTCGCCGTCACATCGCGCTCGCGCGCGGAAGGACGAGGATGTACGATTCTCGCGGCAGGCGGACAATATTTATCGAGAGTGTCAGCGACCCACGGACGTGCGTATACACACCTCGTCCTACGTGCGCCTATCGATCCATCTCGACTCTCATTACCGGCCCCTTACCGGCCGACTTAAATATTTACCGGGCTGAAACGTTTGCTTCGCGGCCGATTATAATGATAGGAGCGCGAGTAGCGCGCCTCTGTGTGCGCGCACGCATCCGTGTGCGAGACGCACACTCCGCGAGTCCTCTTAATTATGCAGGTCCGTCTCTTCTAACGAACCTGATGTAATAGCGGCATATCGACTACGGACGGGCCGGCGGGATCGATTCCGTGCGGATTTTTCGCGTCGCCGCCGCGGAAGCTCGTTAGAGAATGTCCGGCCACGCGGTCCCGACAATCCGTGTGCTTTCGAGAAGGAAGCGTTCGTCTCTTTGAACTTGTAGAT